GTCGTATTTCTCACGATTGGGATAAATTAGAAAAAGAAGCTGAAGAACTTGAGGACGGTGGAGATAAACTTAATAAGATGTTTCGAGATATATACAGCAATGCCACTGAGGAAACTCGAAAAGCAATGATCAAAAGCTTTGTAAGCTCATTCCAACAGCCATTTTTTACATTAATGCATGTCATACTTAACCCTAACTATTGTAGACGGAGTCTGCTGGCACTGTTCTGAGTACCAACTGGAAGGAAGTAAGCAAAGGAAAAGTTGAAATTAAACCTCCGGATGGGATGGAATACAAACAATACGAATTATAATTTATCAATAGTCTCATGAACATTTTGTACAGCTTAACTGCATGCTTGGGATTCATGTAATCTTAAAACACCCCATATTTAAATGCAAAAAACGCTTTGGCTAATTTGGTTTTATTTTTATGGCAAAAATAAACACATTTGAAGTATTGTCACCACATTTAACGTCGTCAGATCAGCGAGGATGGCCTAAAATGTATCAGTGTTCAGTACATATTCTTTGTGATTATTGCAGGTGTTATTATGACTTTAATTATGTTTGTTGTATTTGGAACTTCTTTATATATCATTTACTCATATAATGGGAAAATATTAGCGCTAATTTTGACTCAGGCTGTAGAGGGATACGAAGCTGAAACCGCTGGTTTTTCATACTGACTAAATTGAAATCCTTCGTTATAGTCCTCTGCCTTATTTTTTTAGGTTTGCTCACTTTGCAATGCATTTTCTTATCTATGGTTCCATTCGCTGCTCGAGATGATGCGTCATATGCTTGCATCTTATCGTTCACAGTTTTAGCTTGCCTTCCCATTCATCTCGCGTGATTTAATAGGGAGAGTCATTTAATTCCTCAGGCTTCATTTATTTTTAGTCTTTGCTGCGCTGGAGGGTTGCTGGTCTTCTTCCAGTCGTCCTTATCCTATCTGCTTATTTATGCAAGCTCTAGCTAGACGAAAGTCCAATTTCAATACTGCTGCATCTGAATAATGGGCGCTCGCTTGGCTTTTTTCTGGCAGCACCTCAAGCCTGGTTGATGGTACGGTGCAGATCGAATGTCGTGATTTCTCTCGACCGGCCATCGAATTGCTTTACTGGAATATTCATGTTGACGCTGTTTCCGAGGTAATCCCTATCTATTCCAGTAAAATAGTGCTTGTCTCTTCCTTCATGTGACCAACATCATCAAAGTAGGGTATCATTCTTACAACCAAATTCAAGGTAGCGAGTCGAGAAAACTCGTTTTCTTGTTCCAGCAAAGCCAATTGACAGTTAGTCAAGAA